CTACTCCTTGGCTCCTTCTTACTGCTGTCTTTCAGCCACACCCTTGATCTTCTGGTAGGAAAGATCTACACATAGCCTTCTCAGACAAGGACAAAACATCTCGGAGGTCCAGTGTGCAAGTTGCGCACGTTAAAGATCCCTTGGTTTTCCAAAATCTATAAGAGTAGACGTCAGCCGCCACCCGGGCAAAATTAAAAATTTCCTACCAACTTAAAATATTTAACGTGTCACGCACGCTCATATGACCTTATTTATGCAGTTGCAAGCGCCGTAAAACACTTACCACCCCCATCCCCCCCAAAAAACAACAAAAAACAACAACAACAACGAAAACACACCCCCGCCCCCCCAAAAAACCCAAAAACAAAAAAAACCCAACAACAACCAAACACCAAATATAAGAAGGACCGACATTGTGCATGTGAGACATACTGGGTTCCTTGCTGTAACAGTTGTTGAGGACGTGCAGGAAGAGCCCGTCTGTGGCGCCCGTGTAGAACACAGTCTCCACCTCTGCCTTCTGTACGGACCGGTCATACAGAGCGGGGGTCGTTCTGGGTCACACATGTTGGGTGGGGGAATGTTCATGAGGATAGCCGCAACGGTATGGGGAGTGGGGGGTTAAATGTAATTATGAATTGTTCATGTTCCGGTAGTTTTTTTTGTGTGAATTATTCTGTTGTTTGTTATGCTTGTAAATATAAGTAAAAATTGTATTATTTAGTTGTGATTTTAAAACGTTGTATTATAAATTGTAATTGTAAAATGCATGTGCAAATTGTAGTTGTTAAATGTATTGTAAATTTAAAGTATAAATTTAATTTTGTACATTGTAATTGTACGTTGTGCTCTGAATTCGCAGTTGTAAATTGTAATTTTGTATATTGTGTTTTGTGAATTATTTATTGTTGATTGGGATTACAAATTGTGTTTTGTAAATTGTATATAAATTTAGTCCTCACTTGGTCCCCACAGGTTCACCAATTGGTCACTCACGTGTAATTGAGCGCTATAGGCAGGGCTGGCGTGAGCTGGAACAGCCTCCCAATGGGCACCTCTCTGTACAGCTCAGCACAGCGGCGGTCTTGCACCAGGGAGAACAGCACGTTGGTCAACACGTTCGCGATGTCGTGAGCGCTCGGGTGACCTGTCCATTTGAAAATATTTTTTTAATGTGAGTGTTTTTTTTTACACCCTCATCGACACAATTTAAATCCTTCATGAGGCTTGTAGGTTGTTAGGGTCAACTTAGACAGGGATATTACTACGTCTCAGCAGAAAGACAACGATACTCGATAAAACTTCTCCCCATTCGGGTACATGTTTTGAACTGGGTTAGAGAGAGAGAGAGA